TTAAAAAGTATAAACTCATCATTTTAACGAAATCGAGTCGCAGATTCGCAGTACTTTTGATTAAATGTAAATTTTCGAGCGGAAAAATTGCGCGAGCAATTATTTGAAATGTTGACTTTAGACTAATGCTGACCACACGCATAATCAAGTTCGAATGCAAAGTGATGGCTGCATTTTAATATACATGATAAATAGTTGTATTTTGAGGTAAATTATTAAGCCAGATAAAACTGTCACCGGGCTCGAGTATTAGTATGCAAAAATATTCCGCATCAAAATTCCCTTCATAAACCTGCGTCGGTCGCTCGCGAGGCTATCCTTTTCGCGGAAATTGAATTTCGCTTTACTACCAGGGGGGTTTTATCATAAGTAATAAATACCATTATTTTTTCATAACGAACGCATTGAAAATCACGCGCGGGACTGCGTGGACCAAAACGAAAGAAAAAAATATTACGCCATCCAACTACGGGAGGGAAAAAATTAATTCCTTTAATTAATGCGTGCGCCCACGTACGTTTCCATCGTGCTCTAATTTTCTCGTACACACAAGCGTAGGCACTGGCACATATACACTACACTATGTATAAGGGATCTTAGCAAGATTAGCGAATATAGTCACGGCTTGTCTGCTTGTGTGAGTGAGCTTGTGTATGTGAATAGGGTCGGCTTGTTTAGTTACTGCAACGATATATATGCGGCAAATTCACTACGGGCCTTTTGAATCCAACTATCGTCCTCGCTCGACAATTGAAATTAAACGCTTTTTTATCTGCTTTACGGAACGAACTCTTAACTTCATATTATTGCGCATTCGATGATGCACGCATCTATCGCAAAATAATGAAAAATTATTCGTAACTTTGAAAAAATAATGAAGTTGCCATGCTCTTTTGTAGAGGTAATTTTGCCGTCCAATTGTTGGACGGAAAACAAAGCCAAACTCGAGCACAGCGAGAAAAAAGAAAGAGTTGGATCTTTTGAAGTCAGAAGCCAATGAAAAGTTTCAAATGATGATCGCACTCATTGTAGCGTAATGAAAATTTTTCCCTCGAGTTTTTTTCTTGCTTTTCTTGTATCGACGCTCTCTGTATCAAGTATAACGGAGCTACAACAAATATCGTCGTTATAAACATCCGAATGACGTGCGCCAACTGAAACACAATGATATTATTCGATCGGGGCTGCTGCTGCGTGGACGCACGAGCTCATGAATTACCTGCTCGCGTCTGTCGATATCGCGAGGAGGAACATAAAATTGTCCCATCTGAGAGCCGAGGCAGCGGGCAACGTCACTCCCATCCTCTCATCGACTATAGGGCTCGAGCGCGCCAGGGCCTATTAATAACGCCTCGGATGCGTATCGTTCGCTATACGTATCGCGCGTAAAACTTAACTCGCTCGAGGGATCTAAAAGGGCGAGCTTGCATAACACGCGCCTGTCTATGTGTGTGTATATGCGTGTACACCTTCGTAAAAGGAGCACATCCTCATTCTAGCAGCAGCATTTTTGTCCTTCTCTTTTTTTTCTCCCTCGACAGCAGCGATGATGGCATGCGCGCGATAAATAAATTAACGCGTTATGCAACGTCGCTATCGCGATCCAAGTTAAAGAGCTTGTAAGGATTTTTCGTCTACACGTGCGTAGGAGCTCGCCACGACGTTTCTCTCTCGCCGAGGCGTATTTTTGTAATTCAACGAGCAGAGACTGTTATTACGCGCGCGATCGGTATCCAAGCGCAGCTCAGCTGCGATTAATAGTGTGGGCGAGGAGTTACGATTACTTTTTGCTGTTTCGATAATTGAATTATTGCAGCTCTCGGCTCTTGGCTCCGAGATTTTTCTTTCCAGATAAAGCATTTTTCCAAACTTGCCTATTGTAAATTGAGTCTTACAGCTGCGATCGCTTCGGTCGCCTATATACACTTTGAATGGCTTTTAATATTCGAAGAAAACTAATTACGTTTTCAAGAGACGTCTATAAGCCGAGCTCGTCGGATTAAATTTTATCCGATACGACACGAGCTTTTCGAAACTTGTCGAGTATAATACGTGCCTTAAATAAGCGCACCTACTCTATACGTGCAATTCCATGAAGAACTTGAAAGATTATCTCGGCGCGTTTTGGCTGATTTTTAATTTCACTAAACAAACTTTTCCAAGGTAAATTTTTATGTCCTTTTTTGGAGATTACAACGCGTGGGACTTATTAGTTTCCTTCACTTGATTATTTATACACCTATGAAGATATTCTCATTCAACGCGCCTCGACGCTCTGTGCGGCAACACAAACTTTCCGCACTAATCTAAAAATCAAATCTTTGATACTTTTAGGATAATTTTAGCATCCTATACTGTTACAGTAAATTACATAACTGTGGCAATATAGGTTGTCGATTTTGTGGCCTGATCGTCGAGAGTAGAAACTTTTTTATGTTCTAGAATACAGAGTGAAATTACGTCAACTTTTTGGGACATTTTACGTACAGTAGGGGTACATGCATTGATTTGGTAACGAAAAGAAAACGTACATTTAGCGAAATAAGGGCGATGCCCATGTCTAACTGTATACTATCGTTATTTATGCCGTGTGTGCTATACACACATGCCCACCGTATTATAGGCTATACTGCGGAAATCGATCAAATCAAAGTTAAATTTTGGTCCTCAAAACTTCGAATTCGACTGTGTTTAGATTTCCAACTTATTGCTGAATCAGTGAACCACTTCTGTATAAATGCACATGTATAAATGAAAAGCGAAATAAACTGGTTTTTTTTCATCTCTCTCGACTCAAAAAACTTACATTTACAAGTAGAACAACAATGAAGTAGCAAGCAGCGAAGTCGCGTATACTCGCTCTCTGGAGGGTGATAATATTTCGAAACTTTTTCCCGTGCGTGGTGTTACACGCAAATGTCTGGAAATCTCGATTATTTCAACTTGTGGGCGAAATGAGCAGCCACAGCTCGCAGCGGGACTCAATTAAAGCGTAATCAGATTTGTAATAATTATACGTGCCAGCCCGCTTAAATATAATTCGCTGGTCAAAGTAAAGACGATAATATCGTGACGCGCGTGAGCTAGCTTTTCTCTAAAATGGTAATAAAGCAGTAGTTTACAGTGCGCGCCTGGTGCTGCACATAGCGTCGCGTTGAGAGCATTGCAAATACGCTTTATTATACAGTCCATCCGTGGCAGTCTCTTCGTATAGATATATACACGAGCGACCTACGAAGCTCGGATGTGCACGTATAGATTTTACCAGGGACCAAGTGCAGGCAAAAGCAACGCGATTTATCTGAATTTTTTAGAGGCTCTATTCAGAGTATGTCTGTTGCACTAAAAGCCACCAATGGCGCGATTTCGAGTTACTCGTATATCCGTAACACATTTGACAATTGTTTTACTAGTACTTATGTCAATCGAGAATGCAACTGCCAGCCAAGATGAACACGTTGAAAAGACAACGGTTGAATGTATACCGGAAAATAATATAACCAAATCAAAATTGGATACGCTAAGGACGAAGAGTTATTAATAAATTTTAAGCGATTGAACATTCGAGTAAAACTTGTGCGCAATAATTGTGAAAATCCAGTATATAATAATCGATGAAATTCCTCGTCTCCTTCCAGTAAATAATCATTTTAAAGTTTGGTTTATTATGAAACACGCGATATAATGAAGCTGCAGTTTTGCGCTTCGCCCAAGACGCGTATAAAATATATAAAAGGAAGCTTTGCGAAGTAATTCAAAGCGTAAAAGTTTGTTGGAGAAGTCGAACGATAAGTTTCTCTATCTCTGTCCTGAGCACGTGATGTGGAATGAATATCTTGCTCCTTTCATCGTCAGTTTATAATTTTAGCTTCATTTTATCGCTAGCCAAGCGCAACAAAAATGGTTGAATTTTAACTATTTTCTTTGTTATAATAAAATCGCCTGATACTGTGTATTATTCAATTCGAATTTAAGCTTTGAATTCGATGTTGATTGAGATTTGACAATTATATTACTCAATTCATTTTTCTGTAACAGCTGCCATAAAATGTCGTATTAACTTATCTTGTTAGCCTTGATAGATATATTGAGTTTTCTATTTCTAATATAGCATCTCTTTTCTCTCTGAAAAATCTCTTTATATATTGATATACTGCCAGGTTAATATGAAACATGAATCAGTTGTTAATATATAAATATTTATTTTTAATCACAAAAAATTATATCAGGTTCGAAAATCAATTAATCGATACATTTTCAGGTACACTTATGAACATTTTTTTTATTTTATATTAAAAATTAAATACTGTATACAAAGCAATCAATTATCAATAATAATAGTACTGAAATTTGCATAAACTTTTTTTTCTAGTAACTACTAAAATTTAATCTGCGAGTATTTTGGTTTCTGTGATTATTCGTCTATTAAATTTGGTTATAACTGCTAGGCATTGCTACGGTTAAAAAGTCATTTTACAAAATTATGAGGTTAAGTGCATGTATTTACCGTTCATATTATTAAAGTGTCATAAGGGGGCAGGGGGTGGAGGAAGGAAATTCAGTAACGTAAGTAGTAGTTTTTTTTCTGTACATTAATCATTTATCTGAAAAACTGATTATTAAAATGGAAAGTTTTTCATTGATAAATTTTGATTTTGATACTTGACCAAAATGTTTCTTAAAAGTTTATATAATAATTCCTATACTTTTATTCAAAAGATCACAGATGCAACGACCATTTTCGTAGTAATAAAATTTTTTTTTTAAATTCTGTTATGTGGTTGTGAGAAGAAGAGGGAAAATATCACATTGCTTATGTAATGAGTAATAGGTAATTTATTGCAAATCCCGCCGTCGACCAACTCAAGTGTCGATGGGCTATGACATGTAAATTCATATAAATTATTTTCAATAATATCTTCTATATATATATAAATATTAGTATATATACTCTATGAGTTAAAATAACGAAATAAAATTTAGACTAGTTCTATTGTAAGACGAACAGCAATGATATTTTTTCACTCACGCTCAAAAATAAATAAAATATACAATTTTTGCTTTTTGCTCATGTTTCGGTTGTATGATCTACTTTGTACTATATTCAAGTGTACTAAAATTTAACAACTACTGTTTCTAATTGGAATCCAAGAGTCCTGTGGTATGTAAGCTCAATATTAATAATGTTTTTATAAAAAAAGGACTATTCAAAATGATTTATACTCGTTAACCACCCTTAGCTCCGTTTGAAAACAGTAATGTTAATTATTCGTTTCTCTAAAACTACCATTGTTTTTAATTAACCCATTAAATTTATTTGACATTGCACGCTTCAAATGAACAATGTACAAAAATTAATTCAAATGAACAATATTTAGAAACGTATAACAAGATTATATGATCACGAAATGTTGAGTCCTTTTATCAATATTCTGGAATAGTCAAGAGTCGCATTAATCGTTCTCTTTTCAAATCTTTGTATGGAATATCTTGTGGCAGAGACGCTATATAAAGGGGTATTAAAGATTCAACGTCGCAAACTCTGATTAAATGCTCACTGCAAAGATGGGGTAAAGTGAATACTACCGCTGTTGCGAATGAATCCATCACTCGCTTTCGAACAAATTCGCTAATTTTAATTCTTGCCATTTGGCCGTTCAATCGTCGAAGGATTATTGAAGCCGTTTGGCGCAGATAACGATCAGCCAGAAATTTTCGAATATCCTTATTTGGTGGCATGTGATTGAACAACTTTGTTGGATTCATCGTGGCCAGGTCATAGAGCGTCGTGGTACCATTTACAGGGTAGGCCTTAGCCGCTTCAGCTTGCTCGCAAATCCAATCCGTATTACAGACATCAAAATGTTTCACACTGACTCGGAGGTGTGTTTGCAACGTTATCAAAGCTTGTAGCATGATTGTTTCGTCATCCCATTTGAAGTACAAACCGCTTGCAGACATTTCAGCTCTACATTTTCGAGTTTCGATTATCACATCCAATATTTCCCTTTCATTGGGAACGAGATAATGAGGACCATGATAAAAGGACAATATACATTTCTCTCGTTGCACTTGAGTGGAAATACCAATCTGAGACGAATAATAGCTGCGTATTTGATCAGAGGAGCCTATTAACAAAAAAAAAAGAAATTATCATCATCAATTGACGTATAACTTATGTTTGAACGAGACTGAAAATTAAATGATTTACCGAAGCATAGTACAGTTTGCATGTTTGACTTCTTGAAAAATGCATCCGTATCTAACAAAAAAGTCATTATAGTAATATTCTGCTCTGGAGTCATGTCGAATCCATGTCTCTCCAAAGCATCTACAATCTGTACGATGTTATCGACGACTTCGTAACAGCGTAACAGAAGGTCTGACTTGTCGAAATAGCCCCCTGCAAATTCGATGTCGTCCACACGAGCACCGTATTTCAGGAGGACTCTGACCACATCGATGTTCATGTACGACACAGCCAGCTGAAGCGGAGAATTGCCGTCCTGGTCCAGGTGATTCACAGGGGCTCCGTTCTGGATTAGAATATCAACTATTTCGGCGCCAATTTCATCTTGTAAACATAATTCGAAATCCGGTATATCGCAATCCGAAACACCGGCGAGAATTAACCAATGCAAAATGAAATCGAGGTTGGGAAAACTTTGCAGGTAATTGTTCACGTGAAATTTCCGACAATCATAACGAACCCAGCAATGAGTGCTTTCCCAAGGCGAACGGATGGCGACGTTGTCTTCAATTCGAGGATGAGACTCTTCTTCTAGTACCCGACGATGATTGCGACGCCGATGATAATTGCGATGCCGATTAAAAAGGTCCTGTCCTATATTTGCGAAAAAACGATTCGGAATCATACGTTGCAGTGGTAACCGTAAATTCCGAATTTCAGGTTGTTGGGGTTGTTGGGGTTGTTGGGGGACTTGGATAATCGTACCGAAATATGGATGTAACAGTAGCATGATGTTCGATTTCCGGGGATAAGGTTCACGGAGATGAGGTACCATCTTTGAACAGACAGAACGTAATCGGCCCGTCTCTTTGACAGATATCATCATTAATCTAAGTAAAGGCGTCCTTCCGCGTTCATCACGAGCGGTCTTATCGGCCCCCCGTGAGACTAGTTTCTTGATGATTCCCAAACTTTGGCTTTCGACGGCCATGTGCAGAGGTGTGCTCGGAAAATCTGCGTCACCATACTTGTGGTATCTGTAGCTGTACCTTTCATTCAAGTCAACTCGTGGCTGCGACAATAATTTATCGAAGCCTATCATGTTTCCGCTCAAGCAAGCTATATGAAGATGCGACAGTCCCTCTGTATTTTTATCATTTGAATAAGCGATTTGATTAAAGAACATATCGAGAGCTTTGTCATTTTCAAGATACCACGCCAAGTGAATTGCCGTGTTTCCAGCTCGATCTAGCGGTTCAACTTTCTTGCACAATGGAAAGAGATACTCTATCATTTGATAGTCCCGATCGATTATGGCACGTGCCAAAAAGAACGTTAGAGCGTTTGCTTTTGACAGATACGCAAGAAAAGTTGGAGAAACAGTTTCACAATCGTCAAATTTTCGCAACTTTTTTTGCAGCGATTTATATTTGCGTTCGCACCACAGTGACTTTTTGTGTTTCAGCCAGCGTTTGAGGTTCTTCAATTTATCACAGTGAATGTCATTGTTCACTGATGACACGTGACACGAGCGAATCACTTTTGGCACCGCCGTGACGGCTTGTCTCACTTGATCACTTAGTTTTACGCGCAGTCTCATTGACCGATCAATTCGATTTTCACAGTACATTTCACGATTCACTTCCATACTTTTTATTCTTTTTTTTCGAAGACGCATATTGGGCTACGTGTGTGCTCTATAGTTGCTGACGATTGACTGCTGTATGCTACGCAACGCTCACTTATACAGTACACACTACTCGCACCACTCCCGAAATCGAATCGCTTTGACTAGTAAGGAACTTGAGCGCTACAGTAAAAAAAACTCATTCAATAGTTTTAACGGTCCCGAAACTGTCTTTTGACGTCTTTATTTAGAGCGGTAATCCATTTACTGTTTGAAACCTTTTCACTTTCTCACGAACTATTAAATAATAAGAAAATATATGGGCAATTTAATTACTAAATAATTATAAATTAGGGTTGGATTAACGAAGAATTAACGATAAAAGTGTATTAATCGCTGCAAAATCCCACCTTATCTGCTGAACGGAGATGTGGACAGCGAAGCGAGCGTTGGAGTGAATTCGAACGCGCATGACAAACAACCATCGATGACTCTCGCCTATTTTTGATGGCTTTCTCGAAAAACAAGCGGCTGTGCGTTCATGCTCGCTTTCACTGTCGAGCTTCACGTGATCATTATGATCTTTATTTTCCTATTGGATTCTCTATCTTTATGTGTGTACGTGTGGTGTCGACTGGCAACGACGAAAAACAGTCGATATAATTACGTCACGCGTTTTTTTCTTTTTTCTTTTTCTCCCATAACTGCTTCATTTTACACTACACAATTGACGTCTTTGCACCGTAGGTTAAATTGACCGTTTTTCCCCTGTAATCCTCTTATAGTTATAAATATATACGTATTGTTGTGTCTAAAATTACGGCCAAATAGTAAAACAATTTTTATGAAAAAAAATTGTAAATTTTTTTGATTATCGGTTCACGTACCAACGGATAAAAACAGAAGCGATGAGATTTTCTCGACTCTATAAAAAGCCAAGCGCATTGGTATAAGTCGGGAAGTTATTAGTGCAGTCGCGTTTCCGGAAATGCTCGAGAAAACCTTAACCTGGTGCACGTGCGAAAGCCAGACGGTAATATATAAAAAGCTGTAATATATTATACGTGGCTCGAGGATTCCAACGTGATAGCGTAGCGCGTCTGGGATTCCTTTGGTGTCGTATACATGTGGCATAACAGTGTATATAGACAATTTGAAGGAAAAAAACTACGCGCGTAGTCCCAGCGTGCAGCCGGCAAAGCTATTTCAGGCTATTTTTGTATCAAGACGCAATACATGATATATTTTTTTGCTGCCCGCGTACTCGGCTTGGTGTATATACGGCTCGCGTCAACTTTGCATACTCGAGGGATGTCCAGAGAAATGTTATCAATACGGAATTTTGCAAATTTCTTGGCGTAACTTCTCTGCTCGCGCTCATACATGCAACTATACGACGTACGCTTGTAAGCATGATTGATAGGTCGGAATAGATTTGACGGGGTTATACTCGCCAAGTTCGAAAATCTCCTTTGCCAACTTTGCATCGACGGAATTATATTACTACGCTCGACGTAGCATCTCGCGCTGAAAATTCCTCTCGGTAGTTTCTAAACTTTCGAGCGGATCGCGCCGCCGTTCAATTTCTTCATTTTGTACGCACAAAAAAACTGCTGAAATTAATTCAATCGAAAGAAATTGTTGGAAAGTCGCGAGCTCGATGGTAATTTGAGGATCGTTGAAATTTCATTGGATATGCGCTCGAAGAGTCGACGTTGCAGATAGAGACATGCATGCTGCACATCTCTAGTAAGGTTTTGTCTATGCTCACACGTCGCAAAGCGAATGACCCGATGACAGTAAAATTGGCTGTATAACGAATAAATCTGGATGAGGGTACGCAAACAGCAACTTTGAATTAAGTGCTATATGATCGGTTAACCTCCACTGATGATCATTTCTACCTATTGGAGAGGTATCCGTAGACTCGTTAGTTTTTAGCTACTTTAAAAGTCGAATGAATCCTATTCTTCGTCGGTTATCAAGCTATTTTCCGAACGGTTTTCGATCGGTCGACATTTGCGCGGGAAGTCAGCATGTGTACGGAAACGGTCGTTATACAGGCGCTCTTACATCAAGTGTCACGCAGGCGTGTAGAGGGCAGAATTACGGAACCGTAGCCTTACACGGCGTTATGTGGAGTGACAATTGACAATACAACAGTTATTCATTATGAGCAGATTCCTACTGTTCTGTGTACTTGCTACAGACGTATAAATGCTGGCATAGCAGGCATCTATCGTGTTCTAATCAGTATTATAATTAGTGCCAGCTAAATTATAAGTTGAGGTAGCATACTTTTTAAAACCACTGTATAGGGCGCACAGATCTCGGAGACTTGAAAAAAAATTCACTAAATTCTTCGTTTAATAGAATTTTTTAGATTCTAATAATCACAAAGAATCAAAAACTACATCGAGGGTAATTTCTCCTCGATGCGCGTTCGCTCGAATCTATTACCTTTTAAATTTCGTCAATTTCTGCTGCGCGAGACTCTCATAGTTCAACAACGAGGACATCGCCGTTGCAATACAGAAAGCGACAGAGAGAGAGAGACGTGCATAGATACGAGTGTACACGGCAGGCTGTTAAGTGCTCTTTTCACACTTGAAAAGAGTCGCGCGCAGTAAACGACGGAGAGACGCGCATCGAACGAATAATACGTGTACAACAGCCCAACTACAGCAGCCCTTTTGTATCATTTCGTAGAGGGGTTTACGAAATGATAAATCACTTTTGCGCTTCGTTCTCGAAACTAGCGCACACTAGTGAAGCATTTCTACATGCACGTAGAGAGAGAAAGAGAGAGAGATAGCCTTTTTTTCGGTATATAAAACAAAGCCATTTTGCGCACTGCGCGCGACGTGTATTAATGCGAGGGGCGCGACACATTATTATTGTAAGTACACAATACGGCAAATTTTACGCTCACAAAAGGTCACATTACGCGGCGGCGGTGGCGTATACATTCATGCAGAGCTCAACTCTTCATACCTACGGACGGATGATGTTCCTGCGCCGAAAAGTCAGCGTTACAATTTATACGTGTATAAATGCTACTCGCGAGTGCATTTATGTGTGCGTAATATCGAGTGGCCGCTGCCCAAAGAGCTTGATTAATATCGATACACATAGAAAGGGGTGCGCGCCCGAGCTCGAGAGATAAGTGCCGCTGTTTAGGGCTTGCGCGAGACTGAGAGCGAGAGAGACATTTTAACGTGTTTAATTTAGCGTGGGTTGTATGATAGTAACGGATTTGATTGTCGAAATTGTGCTGCTCTCTCTCTTTCACCTTGCTGCTATATGACGTTAGACACGCGCGTTGAGCTGCGAAACTTTGCAGCTGCTTCAAAATTTATCGAGACTCGCTGAATTTATGGCCTTTTTTCAGAGCTCTACTCCATACAACGTGTCTATTGAATTTCGATAAAAATCCTAATGGGTATAATATTGCTTATGCTGGTTTTTGATTAAAGTGCTGTACTTTTGATGCTTTTGATTTTTTCTCTTCAGAAACAAAAACTTGCGCGTTGTTATTGGCTGGCCACTGGCTCTTGCGGCGACTGCTGCGCGACGCTCATGTGTTTGTACTGCGTCTGTCTTTGTCACTCTCGTGCTGTGCCGTGTGCGTGTCGGTGCTGGCAACTCGCTCAAACAACGCGTAGAGCTCGCGCTGCCATACTGTAGTCTCTTCAGTGTGCGTTACGACGCCGCAGCCAGTTGAACAAAAAAAGATCGCAAGTGATTTTGGGAAACAAAATTACAAGTGTCTCAAATTATAAGCAATTGTGTTTTTGTGTGAGTGCGCAAGATGATGCTGTTCGATTATGACGATGTATCCGATTCCGAAAACGAACGCGGTGTTCAGGGCGATTCCGATTCCGAAGTCTCAAGCTTAGAAAAATTCATGAGCCTACTACAAAAGGTTAATTGGGATATTGAAAATGAACGACATGAATTTCTACGTCAACTTGAACCGTTATACAGAAATTGGAAGGGCCAATATCCAGATCTTCGAGAAATTTTTTATAGCGAAGGAATTGAAGCTCTTCTTGTGGAGGACATGGAGATCGAAAACCTACAAATATGGAGAAAATATTCATTCGCCCATTTTGTAGCTCGCACCGGCTACAAAGACAAGCCCAAAGTTGATCAAGACGGCAAGCCAATTTTGCGTCGCACCACACCTGTGCACTACTTGGGTTGCAGCGAATACAATAATTGGTTCACCGTCCGTGATCTTTTTAAAATATACAACAGGTTCGACCTGAACTACACCGACGATTACGGCGTCACTCACTTTCATCTGGCCTGCCTGTCTAAAAGCGACGACGTCGTCGAGAAATTCCTCGAACTCGGTCAGAATCCCAACTGCCCCTTACCAGAAACGGGTAATACGCCACTGCACTTGGCTCTGGACGCCAACAGGCAAAGAACGGTCGAATTGTTACTGAGAAATGGCGCCGATCCAAATTTGCCTGATTCGGAGGGATCGACTCCTCTTCACAGTATTTGCAAAGAATGCGACGGCAAAGACTTGGTTGGGTTTTTTTTCAAGATCATCGATGATATCCAGCAGACCGTTGAAATTGACGCTGTGGACAACTTGGGTCGGACACCACTTCAATTGGCAGTGGCGAATCTTTTGCCGAATGTAGTCGATGTTCTCTTAGATAATAATGCCGATTTATCCAGTTTCGTTTTTCCCACTTCGAGTTACTTTGGCGAGAGATTTGATCCAAAAGATTATCGCGGTCATTTTAAAATGAGACTAGCGTCTGACGCTCTAATTATAGTTGAGAGACTCGAGAAAAGAGGTTACGAGTTGGACCAGAGCGGTGCCATAACAATTGAACAATTTTTCGATAAGTACGGATTGTTTGAGAAGCCATCGGATTTTGACACAAGTTGGTATGACGACGAGGAGTTCGTGATGGAATCCAAAACAATAATGTTAAAACCGAGTCTGTCGCTGTACGACTTGATCCGGTTACGACCAAAAGAGGCGGCAAAACTAGTCACGTATTCGGATTACTACAAGTTTGCACACTCCTACAAACTGTATGAGCTTTCCGACC